ACCTCTGGAGTACACAGGGGAGCTAATATTCTAGAAACCCTCATAGTGAAGAAATGTCTCATTATATTGCAGCCTCATGATCTGAGCTTATTTTTAACAGATTTGATACCATGATCTGAAATACAAGCTTATGTTTCTGAACCTACCTTTTGAGTTAACCTCCTACGTTTGAAACTCATGCCCTAAACTCCAACCTCAGGAGATTATTTATCATTGCCCAAACCCAGCCCTGTACCTTCCTCTTTCAAATGTCTTTCCCATCCTCTTCATCCATCTGCTCATCCTTCAAGACCCTGATCAATGGCTGCCTATTTACCCCTAGTTGGACTCAACCCTGCCTCATCTTGCAATGACTGATATACCTCTATCGTACCAATTACCACCATTTGCCTGGCATTATATTGCTGATGTATACTGACTTCTCCAATGGATTGGGGCTTCTAGAGGGTTAGAGTTGCATCTTAATTACTTTTCTGTCTCTCAAAGGTTTCAGCACACATTAAACATTCAATAAGTGTTTGTCAAGTGTATCAAAAAATATGGTTGTATGGTCCAGACTTTCAAACTATACGTATTTATCTGTCCTATCCTAAAGAACCTTCCAAGAACCTTGAGATAATAGCAGTCCCTTGTTCTGCAGTGTGTCAGAATGTACCATAGAGTGACAGTCTCCCCTTCTTGCTCCTTCCATGATACCTAGAGGTTTTCTTCTCTTGGACACCCTCAAAAGTTTGAGGGTGAAAAACACTATACCAGTTAGATCCAAGATTAATGTTTACTTCCTTCAATAGAATACTGATGAGTACAAAGGCAAATGTTAGACAGTACACTGACACCACGGAGACAAATGAAAGAGACAGGAACTTTAGAAAAGGAAAAGGAGGCAGCCAGCAAAGGCATGCTTCATTGTATAGCTACATCTCAGGGAAGGGAAAGTGGCAGAAAAATCAAGTCCACGTAAGAGTTTATATTCCTTTGACTACTGAAATATGGTTTATGCTAAAACGTCAACAATCTGAGATCACCCACATGAAATGAAAACGCTCATATTTCTATGGTGCTTTTCATCCAGAGAATCCCAAGGTGCTTTATTAAATTATAAATATGAATGTTCCTTAAGCAACATTCCTGATGGTCTTCATACACAAAATCCAGTTACTGATGACCAAAATCTCCCCCTCCCCTGCCAGGCCACTGACTATGAAACACTTTTATGAGATCAGTTTTTTGTCTTTACAAAATCCTCTATATTGAAAGGCCTACAATGTACACTATTTGTCTTCTAACATATACTGCATCCCTTCTACCCTTTCCCTTCCCCCACTAACATGGAAAGTGAATTCAATTAGATCTAAGACAAAGAGTAATTGCATTGGAAAATAGAAAAAATATCTCATCCCAGAGTGATTAAGCTCTTTACCTTATAGAGGAGTTTAACTCTTTCATGAAAACAGAATCCCATGTAATAAATGAATTCAGAGATTTGCTAAATCAAAGTATAGTGACTTGAAGTTAATTCCCCAGCTCTTTGCTCTGAAAATAATGTACTCATTGTAAGATGTATAAGAAATACAAAACAAAGACTAAAGCAATTTTGAGCCTTAAAAATTTACTCTTTAACCACTTCTTATTTTACAGTAATTTATCTCAAAATATAAAACTTGTTCTAAACTCTTAGATTCCTGAAAGGGGACTTAATCATCTACTTTCTTAAAATTATTTTGTGCTTTTGATATCTTAATTTTGGTAGTCCCTTCCACATATTCTTTCAGAATTTGTCAAAGAAAAGCCTGAGTTACCCAGGCTTACCAAAACAGCTTTGCCAAGCAGCTTCTGACTAGTTTATTGGTGGTCATTCAAACATATGCAGAAAGATGATAAAGAACACTAATGTGACAGGTTCTTTACAGAAGAAGTCCTAGAACGTTAGATAACCAATAGGGATGACATTCAGGACTGTCATTTCCAAAACATACCTAAGGTGAGGAAGATTGTGTCAACTCTAAGGGAAACTTAAAATGTAAATGTTGGAACATCTTGAAAAAATCTGGAATAAAGGACTGGGGGTGTGTAGAATGCTTGCCCAGCATGCATGAGAGCCTAGGTTTAATCCCTAGCCACACACACACACACACACACACACACACACACACAGGAATCTGGAATCAAGAGACAGATCAAATATGCAAGTATATGTTACAGCCAGCCCTTTGGTGGTGGCTACTCAAAGGTAGAATGCAGCAAACAGAAGAGATCTTTCTGAGCCTACTGTGGTGGTGCATGCTTTTAATCCCAGCTCTGAGGCAAGACAGAAAGATAGTGTTTTATGGTCAGTTTTAAAAGGGTGCACATGCCTTGAACTAAGAAATCCCCCTTCTTGGACCTTTTCCCAACTACATTATGTAGGCATTTCATACCTATCAGTGTGTTTTTTCTGAAGTAGAACTGACAGATTTCTGAAACTGGTCCTGTTAAACCATCCTTTGTAATGGCAGAGTTCTATAGGCCCAGTCCCAAATAATACCATTCTCTTTGATAGCTAATTAAATAGGGAATATACATGTTTACGTCACATTTACAAAATATCTACAGCACAAGGCATTGGCTTGGTTTTGACATGTGTTTCCCATGGCAGCATGGGTTTTTTTTTCTGTCTTTCAAATAGTACCTAGTTTGAACCATACATGTTTTTGATCATTGATGAGACTTTTTTTTTTTTCCTTTTGTCAGTACTGGGGTTTGAACTCAGGGCTTTGCACTTGCTAGGAAAGCACTCTACCACTTGAATCACAACTCCAGCTCTTTTTACTCTAGTTTATTTTACAAATAGAGTCTTGCATTTTTCGCCCAGGGTCAGCCTCCTACCTCCACCTCCAACCTAGCTAGGATTACAGATAGGTTCTACCACAGCTGGCTGAGATCCTATTTGTCATTATTTGATGTCTTCATAGGATATTGGGTCTGGGTTGTTGTTTTTTGTTGTTGTTGTTGTTGTTGCTGCTGTTTGGTTTTGTTTTTTTGTTCTTTTGCTTTTGTTTTGTTTTTGAAACAGAACCTCACTACGTAGCCCAGGCTGGCATCCTCCTGCCTCAGCCTCTTCAGTGCTGGGATCTCAGTTGTGTACTGCTTTGCTGGGCTCATAGGTCTGATTTTAAAAAGGTAAAGCAAGGGAATAAAAGTAAAAAACTCGTGTTAGAAGTTTTGTACTGCTGTCCCATCAGATGGTCTCATGTTGTTCCTTTCCTAGCTGGGGATGATAAATATCTACAATTATTTATGAGATCCTTTCTATTGTCCTTTGAGATTTGTTAGTGAAAGGTACTACATAAACAAATCCTCTTGCTAATATATCTATACTTATGAAATCTGTTGTACATAGGACTGATTTTCTTATTTACATATATTTAGTACTCTTAGCAAAATATATGTTCATGATAAATACTTTAAAATGATTTTACATGTTAACTAGAGGTTAGAGAGCCTTATTTATAGAGTTGGAGTTGGACAAAGAATATCAGAGACATGGAATCAAGTAAGTTTAGATCATAAGTGAAGCTTTTAGTAGTCAACAATAAGATCATACCAAAAGGAGTATCTATAATAAAGTAACATAAGGATTTTTTTAAAAAATAAACTGGAAATCTATGAGTTGAGATAATAAATGGCTCTTCTGACTCCTTCAATGGCGAGTGGTTCTTTCAGGTTTGATGAAGGTCATTTTCACGTGGGAGAGGTTACAGTTCAGCTTCTACCAGCAGGCCTTCATAAAGGAAAAATGGCTTGAGCTTCTGAAGACACTGTGCTGCTTTTTTTTCCCAGTTAAAGCTGTTAAGACTTATTTTCTGGATATATTATAGCAATATTTTATATTTTTTTCCAAAAGACAATTAGGAAGTTGCCACTTTTCCCAAGACTAGTGTGGGGAGAACATCAGCTAGCCAGGAGACAGTGAATGTGTGCCAGTGTGTATGCCCAGCTGCTCACATAAATCTTTCTTCACAGCAGGATTTGAAATAAAACTCACCACTTTATTGAATAGTTCAAATGCTACCAAATATGAAATTTTAGTTAGACCAGAATATTTGTAAACTTAAAATGCATATATTTTTGCACATTCTGGTGACATATGCAGCATTATGAAACGTCAAAAAAAAATCAAAAGGACTCTTGTGCTGCTATGCCAGTTGTGGGTATTACTTGTTTTAGGACTTTGAAACTATTCCTTTTATACTTAGCTGTTTTTCTAAACAACAGTCTTGCTTCATTTTCCTTTTTGTTTTGAGCTGTTTGCAACCCCTTTTAGAATAGTGAGGAACAATGCAATTAATTTCCTCCAGCGCAATCATGCATAGATTTAATAAGCATCCGAAGGTAGGATCCATCTGTAAAGTATGCGTTGTATGCTAAATTACTTCTCTTCTGTGGTTTTTTTTCCTTTCCAAACCTTAATTAATTGAAGAAAAAAAATGTTTATTAAAGTGGGAACAGGCTGGGCTTTGGCTCTCCGTCTCTGGTTCAAAAGTTCATACAATTCCCTGAAGGCTCATCTGAATGTGTGTGTCTCCCTCTCACAGTCTTTCTTTCTCGTTTCTATCATAGGGATGAATGCCTAGAAAAGGTGTGTTATTTTGTTCCCAGGCTCAATTTTAATAATCTTAATTTGAGTGAACTTTTTGTGTATATGTTTTCATTTATTATGCAGGGTTACATAAACAGTACATACATGTAGACAAGTAAGTGTGTTATTTATTCATTTTCCTATTGCTTGGAATTTTAAAAAATTGATATACTCCCAGTGTCATCTTTAAACAAGGACATAGATGGAGAGCAGGAAGTACAATTCTACAGGTGGATCTCAGCTAGAAAATTAAAGGAATTATATATGAAAATAAGCTAAATAAGCTAAATTTGGACCAGAAGAAAAATATTAAATTTATCCAATTAGAGAACTATCTACCCATAAACAGAGAAATGGAAAAATATAATGGGAAGTGACTCACTCCTATGAAGATGCTTGGAAATCAAAGACATTTCCTGTTCTTCAATAAGCTTTATAAAACCTAGGTGGAAAACAGCAAGTTTATCATAAAATAAGCTATTATCTTTAAAGATAGACCATATTTTTTTCAATTATTTCATTTGTTTACCTAAGATGTTATTATCTGCCTTTTGTCTTTTCAAAGTATTGGTTTTATCCTCCTTACTATTTTCTGCAATTTTTGGATCCTTATTTAAAAGAAAACAACCCTACAAGTTGTCGGTTTTAGCCAAATTACTAGTTTCTTTTTTAATTTAAAGTAAGATTAGTTTTCTCCTTTAAGAAAAATAAGGTTTCATAGTCACTTCCAGATTTAGAAATTATAGAATCAGAAAGCAGTGCTGAACTTAACTGTGATCTTGCCTAACTGAAGTCAGCTTCCCTTCGCCTAGTTGCTTTTGCAAAAATATAGAGATCATATAGAAAGCCTTGCAGAGGGCTTTCTACAGGTTGTTTCATTCTCTCTTTGGACTCTTGTACAGGGTGCCTAAAACCACTGGTCTGTTAGTCATTTCAGTTTTTTAAAATGTCCACTTACATTAGGAAAGCTATTTTAGTTTTAGTCATATTGTCACATACACATGCCATCAGATATATCAGAGAGCAGGTCTTGGGGGCATTCCTGCAAAGAATTTCCAGGAATCAGCATTCTATATTTTCCTTTCTAGGGTCCTGTATTTGCATGTTGACATGTACACATATGGGCCACTTTTGAAAACTTGTGTATCAGATCACATGAAATATGATCACCAAGTAACAATTAAGTGGCTATCTTGGAAACTCGAGGACTGTACTACACAGGTCATATACTATGCAGGGCATCTATTTATGTGTGTGATGTATCGCCATCTCCCAGACCCAAAATTCTGTGACTTTTTGGAAGAATCCGGCTATTGCTTTCTAAACAGATTTTGGCTTAGACTTCCGTGAAAACCCTGAATCGAATAGCTGTGGGTTTCACAAATTGCATGCATGTAAACAACCTACCTTTTAAAGGAGGATGTGTGGGCCCTTTCTCCTATATGCTTATGTATCTGTTGTCGTAGATTGGCGTCCTTTGTGAGCTATTCAGTGACATTTCAGAACCATTTCGCTCTGCAGAAAACCCGCAGTTGTGTTTCTTTAGCTGACACTGTGGCACTTGCACTCGAAATTGCTAGTTAGAAAAAAAAAATTGTTGAGGCCGGTGGCTGTAATCAGCGTTGTTGCTGTCTGTTTCCTCAGACTAATAGCAGAGCGATCCAAGTCTGAGAGTTCAAACAGAGGTTATCTTTCCCAGGTAGCATCTCGCCCAACGAGAATTTGATTTTTTTCTATAGGACTTTACTCCATTAGATTAATGAAATTTCAATGAGAGCCTGGCGCCCCCTGAAGCTTTGTTAGGAAAACAAATGGTGATTCTGTAGGTGTGACAGCTTGCTTGGAGAGCTACGAGAAGGTGAATACATCCCCACAATCCAGGCAGTCTGGAACACATTGATCTCTATTTAAAGCACCAATCGGATTTTTGTTAATTATAAATGATTGATCTGCAGTTTTTCCCCCTCTCTCCTCTTATATGTGTACATCCCCCTCCTTCCCCCACTTCTAACTTCTTTGCATGCTGAGTGCAGAGCTTTTTGTTTAAAGAGACAATTATAGAAAGCAAATTATAGCAATACCCAGCAGCGATGCGATTGTGAATGTCATTGTCAGGGCGTTCACTGTTCACCGAATTGAGGTGAGCCCTAAAATAGATTTAAAACTGACTTTGTGTTCCCTGTTTACTTGGCTCATTCCTAAAAGAAAGGATTATTTTGAGGAAAAGAAAGCCTTCAAATCATTAGACTAGTATTGTAGAGACCATCATTATGTGTTTTAAAATCTGACTTGTAAACCTTTTTAAACCAAATCCCCAATGTTATGTGAGGCAGAGTGCATACCTTGTGTGCACCAGCATGTGATATGTGATCAACCAACCCCATGTGAAACAACAGGGTGAGCCAAGGGAGTATCTCTAGCTTTAAATCTCAGTTTATAGGCGTTTAGGTGATTAATCTACCTTTTATCATCTTTGTGGAGTACTATACTCAAAACTGGCACGTTATTATTCCTGCTAATTGCTCACCACACAGACTTCTGAAAGAACACAGAAAAATAATATCCCTAGCTTCTTTGTAGACCTATCTTTAGTGAAAACATCTGAGCATTAAATGTACTTATTTATTGAATACTAAAGATGTAGTTCCTTCTGTTATTTATAATATATGTATTACATGAAGAAGATAATTCACACAGATCATAGAAACTATTTGTAAAAATGACAGCCCAAGGAGCATAGGTCTTAATGTGTGACATTGAAAACAACATTGATTTTGCACTTCTAACACAAATGTAAAATTTTATGAACATGTCTTTCTTAAGTTTGAGCCCTTAATTAAGTTTTAGGACATACATTTTCAAGTCGGAATAACAAACTTGCCTCAAAGTTCTTTTTTTCAAATTGTCTAAATAATCCATGTCATGCACAAGAGACATTTCTAGACCAATAATCTTAAAGTAATTTATAGTTTGCTGTGACACTCTTCTGCAGAATCCTTGAGATTTGAAGAATTGTTGCCTCCTTTCTTCGACTGTCCCGAAACTTCACTTAACTTCGTTATGAGTTGTCTGACCAATAATGCGTGACAGACTCTCAATAGCGTAAGAGCAACTCTGCCTTTAAAATAGCAGCACGAAACGTGTAAGAACCTGGAAGGATAGCACACCATAATTTTCCCACACCCAAACTTCTGTAACTTTAGGAAGATGCTCCTGAGGCTGTCCAGACAGGTTCATCATCTAAATCGGAACGGTGTCCTAACAGACCTCCCCCATGAGGTAATTATGTAATGATCCTGTAAATTCTCCCAGGAAAACTAGATTTAAAGGGTAATTTTTCTAAAATATAGCATTTGTTCCTGGAGTTTTAAAACATTTATATTATATCTTTATTATAATTATGATTTTAACATCAGATTTTCGAATTGACCAGAAAAAAAAGTGAAGTAACTTTTTAAAAAAACAAATGTTAGCACTTAAGAATAGTTTTTAATGTCAGTGTCTAAATGAGGGAAAAAATGACAACGTGAAGAGATGGAAAACTCACCAACATATCATAAAATGCTTCCAAAGGGCTGATATTTAAAATGTTTTAATTTTATTCTTGTCGTAGGGGTTTTTTTCCTATTTGAATAGGCTAATGACTTTCATTAGTATATTTGTAATTTATGTGGTTTTAGGAGGTTCTACCAAGGTTAAATAATTTAAAGAAATAACCCCTTATCTGATATAAGATAGCTAATGAAGTGTATTAGAGACTTGCCCTATTGCCGGATGAAATGGATCTCCAAAGCTAGCAACAGCTTTCTACGGGAACACAAATCTCTATATAAATATCCAAATGTAGCAAGATGTTGCAAATTTTTAAAGATATGCCATAAAAATAAATTAACGCTAGTACGCAGCCCTGTTCAACTGAATTACAAAGGGATATCATGGGATTGCCAGTGACATTCACATAAATAAAAAATCAATTCTTAATGATGAGGCAGACTTGTTTTAGCGCATTACCCAGGTTAAATGGGAGCACACAAAGACATCAACTCCTATAAGACTAGTGGAATCATTGTATATTAATATGATTTAGGAAGCTGCACACCTCGATGGAATAATTGTTATTATATCTATAGAGCCAGATGGCACTTGGTGTAAACAGCCACTGAGCACCTCAAACACAAGTGCGGCAGGTGATCTTTAAGACATTCCTGCATCCTGCTCACTCATCTTATCATTGGAATCTGGTTACTGTTTGCAAAATGGTTTAATTGCCACCACGCAAAATTTTCAGAATGGTCCTATTTAGCAATAAGAATATAGAACGTAGGATGAGGTCCTTAGCAGGAGAATAGATGAGGCATCTACCTGGATTTGTGTGTGTTAGTACCATATTTTTATAAGAAAGAAAACAGAGGGAATCTTTTCTTTTTCAGCTTCAGTGGCCCCCAAAAATGGTGTTTTCAGAAATTTTTTAAAAACTAATCCACAAATAGCCCTATGAAAGAAGCCAAAATATATAAATATTTGTTTCCAAAGCTAGAGAAATCCAAGTTCTGAGCAGAAGTATCTTTAATTTCTAAATGTCTCACTCTGTTTTGAATATTTAAAATCGACTTCAGGTAATCCTAGTTATCTAATTAAAGAAAACTCATCCATTTATTCAACAAATATTTATTGAAAGCCTACTGTATGTGAGGCACTGTTCCAGTCATTAGGGGTACATCTGTGAAAAACCCTGCCCTCACAGGAGTTCCAGTCCTGGCGGGGAGGGGGGGTGGCTGGAGGGGGTCAGGGCTGGAGTGGGGGGCATGAATGATACATACATAATATGGGAGAGATGAAATAGGGAAGAGAGAGAGTGCTAATGTAAAGTGTAAGAGCTTACAATCTGCCTTTCCCGCCTTAAAAACATAAGAGAGTTTATCTAGGAAGAATAAAAGAGGCTGTGAGAGTTCTTACTTATCTTCCAACTTCATTGATCCTGTAAAATTTCCAGTGAGTTGTTGATAACACCTACTGTTATATCCTCAGCTTAATGGCCAGGGTTAAGTCATTGGAATGAATATTCAGTGTAAGCTTAGATTTTCTTGGCTCAAATTACATTTAATATTGTTACATAACTTTTATGATTTGGTTTCTTTCCTCTGATAATACCATTAAAATCATAACATCTTAGTTACAAGTAATTTTTAAATTGCTCCTTGTTCTACCTTATAATTCTTGTTTTCTGATTCCTAGTTATCAAGGATATGAAGCTGGTCTCTTAGAGGAATTTTTTAGCAAATTTAGATGAACAAACATATAAAATAGGTTTCCACAGTGTCTAAAATAGAGAAAGCTTCTCAAAATTTTGCAGTCTCATAAATCAAACTCTTCTGTCCCCTAATGACAAAATTCATCCTAATCCAGAGAATATATCCACCACCCAACTCCTGCATGTTATTGACTAATTAACTCCTGGGTTTTAAGCTAGTGTGCAGTTCTGTGCCAGGTACAGTTTATCATAGAACTGCAGCCACTCTAAGTGAAGCATAGTACATGTTGTGAAAACCTCATTTAGGTTAGGTGAAAAAATAAAATCCACTCTGTAATATGGATTCATTCAGGTTTACGTTTGATTGAGTATCAATCACAGCATGCATGTTATTGCTGCATAGAGAAAATACTGAAAACATGTCTTCCAAAGTGCAGGTTATAGCAGAACATAAGGGTAACATTTATTCTTTCCTTTATACGTTTCCATATTTCAATTTTTTTCTACAATGAAGTTGCATTCTCTTTGTGACCAAGAAAAAATTATTTTTTAAGCTAACAGAGCCTAAAAGTTGGTATTTTTTACTTAACACAAAACCTTACAGCTGGCAAGTAGATGCAGATTAGTTCTGCAAATCATGGAAACTACAGAAAACCAGCAAACATTGAGATTTAGCTAATACCATGAAGTTACTAATTTTACCTGTTTCTATTCATTGTACTTGAAAAATGCAGTGCAAATTTGGCTAATTCATCCCTTCTTTTATTTCCAGGATATGAAGTGTCTTTTTTTTTTTAAGTAATAGGCAGAGTCATTTCTATAGCAAGATATACCAAATTTTATAAGGAAACGTTTTTAATTTCGGGCCTTTGAATGTGATGTTATTCATAAAGATGAGTATTTATGAGTGTATAGGAAAAAAAGGGGCCTGGAAACTTTATTTCTTTTAGCAATCAACAATATTTAGCCTATCAGAATGCTTGGATGGATAAACATTCCTACTGTTTTAATTTTGAATATAGATTGTCTCGTGCTGATGGGAACTATTGTTAATTTTAATAAAATTAACTTCATATTGTTATTTCACTGCTTTATAATAATTTTACATGGTGCCCTGGGGATGCCTCTGTTCTACATTATCAGGTGTCACATTCGCTATTTGGTTGGTATAGCAGCGTTCAGCCTCACTTCTCTATTCAATTGCCTGAAGCACACCACTCAAGTTATATTGCAAGTAGCTATATTGCTATATACTCACAAGTTTATATACTTTTATTTTATATGTGTATATCATTTTTGTATTTTCTTAAAATCATTGTTTTGTG